GAGGAAAGTCTGGCAGAAGGGAAGCTGTGCATATGCAGCTTGGAAACACAGCAGCTGTTATTCTTGTTTAGGTTGCTTGCTATTTATGGGTGAGGAGATACGTTATGTTCTTTGCCTTCCTCTCATAGTTGTTCTTTTTTTGGTGTAGAGGAGATGGGGTAACGTCAGTTTTTTGATGGCTGAAGGTTATCTGCTGTCATCTGGAGAAAGAGATGAGTACTGTCTCTGTTTCTGCATCCAGAGGTATCTTCCTCCTAGCATTTACCCCTTCATCGCTGAGGCTGGAAGTGACTGGGCAGAATCTGCTGTGTTTCCTTGCTATGTGGCAGGACCAAGGAGTCCTAAAATTGTTCCCAGTTAGTGTTTGTCTAAGCTCAGGTGTCAGAGATTAGCTGAGTAGGTAGTGGGATCTCTGTCATTGCTACTAGGAGCTTGCTGTAGGAACAGACCACCACTTTCTTAAATCTTCCTGCTGTGTTTTGCTTTTTTTTTCTCCCCAAACCAAGGTATTTGATTACTCTAAATGCTTTGTCCAGTTCCCTGTTTTTAAGGAGAGTTTGTGTGGATGCCATGATAAATATGATTGTTCTCAAGTTGAGGAAGTTTTTGAATTAGAAAGCTTCCTGTTTCTCCCCAGGAGCCAGTGGTGCTGACAGATACGAATCTGGTTTACCCCGCTCTGAAATGGGACCTGGACTACCTCCAGGAAAACATTGGCAATGGGGACTTCTCAGTGTACAGTGCCAGCACACACAAATTTTTGTACTATGATGAGAAGAAGATGGCCAATTTTAAGAACTTCAAACCCAAGTCGAGCAGGGAAGAGATGAAGTTTGCCGAGTTTGTGGACAGACTCAAAGAAATACAACAAAAAGGGAGTGCTGAGAGGTAAGTGATGCGTGGAAGTTTCTCTATTTCTGCAGGTCTGCGTAGGGGGTAAGTTTCTCTTCGGTGAGTGTTGATGGTTAAAACCTCTCAAAACCTTTTGGTTTTTTTGTAGCCCTGCTTTTCCTGCAGCGCTGCTACTTGACAGCAGCCTTGTTACCTGGCAAAAAAG